GCTTGGCCGACGTTTAAACCTTTCGGGACATTAAATTCTACTTTACTCAACTCGCTCACAGTTCGCCGATTCATCCCGGTATAATGAAGTTCCGGGTGACTTTAAGCGATGCATTTCCGCCGGTCCCTCGTCAATTAACGATTTCCAAGTAATTAGCAGCGGACCAGTCCTCCTTTTACCTCTCACTTATGCTTTATCGATGCATATGAAGGGAAAAATTTAATTGCGAATAACAATCGAGGAACACAGAAATGTACGATTAATTAATTCTGTTCGACAGAAGTGATTTAGCGTAATTTATTCGTTGCTTTATATTTCGATGGTCCCATGTTTTATGGAGTTATCGGATATCGCAATTTTAGATCTTTGTTGGCAGAGAGAATTAACAAAATTTTGATTGTTAAGTGGATATATAACGCTTTGTATAATTTCGGGAAGAGCTCAGTACGTCGAACGGTGTTACACCGACACGCGATAATTAATTCGTTAATTAAATGGGTTTGGTACGCGGCAATGAATACGTTCCACGTGGCCACGGAAACGACAATTCGTGAATTTAATCTAACTGAAGAATACTCGACAAATTTTGGTTTCCTACTTGGTAATTAAACTCCGTGTCGAAATGTAGGTCAATTTCTATTACGTAACAATCTAATCAGACCAACGCGATCGAATGGAATTCCGAACGATTTGAAATATCTATTCCCGTTCGATTTGAAATCGAAAACATCAGGAAGCGATGCCCGCGTAAAGCAATTTTCTGCCTCTTTGAAATTCAAGAAACTCAAGATTCCGAGCTATCGAGGTTGAAACTACGCTCGTATATCATGTTCAAAAGCTTCAATTTGTCGGGGAAAAATGTATCAGACTGGGAATATTGCAGTCTACTTTTTCGAACGAAGTTTAAAAGCTTCAAAGCTGTCAGTGGTGGAAGAGGATATTTCATATCTTTCTGGGGACCACGATTATGACACAAATTTTTAACAACAGTGAAAAGTAATTTCAATTTATCATCTCGAAAAATAATGAATTAAAAATCTCTTCTAGCAAGAAGAATAATTTTTAAAAAGTTTTTAAACGATTTCCCTATGAACGATCATCGCAAAGGGTTAAGAATATTTAATCGAAGCTAGAACATAATCGCCTCCATATTAACGAGATATTTTATTAAAGCAGATTAATTGGTACCACGGTTCCATGTTCCCCGCGGTGGCAATTAATCCCGAGGCTACGAGCGAGTGCAGCCACGAGCATGAGCAATTTACTCTGCCCCCGAAATTAATTTCACTCGTTCGACATTCGGGATCGTTTCAACGCTTTCACCTTTTTTCAGAGAATTCAGCTTCCGAGAATTTCATTAGATACCTTGAATTTATATGAACAATATCAGCTGGCGTTATTCGAATTGAACCGTGACGTCAGTATCCATTTCTATCGTCCCATATTCGTTCAAAATTAATAGCAATTACATCGAAATTGATACAAATCGTCTATCTCGCATCGTTTCGTAAAACGTTGCCCGTTACTTCGAACCACGACGATTCCAACCCTTTTCCCTCGTCACATTTAATTATCCCCGCCATTTACGTAACCCAATTCCAAGTAAATTATTGCCGGACCACCTGTTAAATCACGCATACAGAAATGCTTAATTATCCTTTCGTAAATAAATCAACCGAGCGAAAGAAAGAAACGAGGTAAAGGGGGTGGATTAGGATGGATTCATCGGGGTAAGCTTAAAAAATGGCCATCTTAACAATGTTAAAAGGGTAATGTTACGCGGGAAATTAAATCTAATGGTTACTTGTTGTCTAGTCGAGGAAGAAATAATCCCTTTGTATAAACGTAAAGAATCGAATTATCAGCCGTATTCATTCGTTGTTGAGCCTTTCTCGAGGCAGTACAGAAACAGACCGGGTCTCTCTGAACTGAAATATATTCTTTTTTCCATTAATTCCCAGCGCGCAAGTAACAGGTAAATATATCTAAATAACAATTCTTCGATTTCATGGTTCGTTTCACAATAATAAAACACTCTAAATTAATATTCGATGCGGATACACTTTTAAGCTTTCGCTCTTTTGTCCCGTTAAATCACCCTAAAAAAAATGATACCATCCCCCTTCGTTGCAACGAGGAACGCTGAAAATATCGTGGTTACTTGGCAACAGTCTCTCCTCTCCGCTCCATCGAGCTCCATCGGATTCCATCGTTGTCGTGACAAACCATTCATCAAAGTTATGACAGGCTAACACAGCGTCGAATCGGTTGTTCGTCCCGGCGCTTACGCTCTGTCTCGCATCGTCGAGCATCGAGAGGGACAAGTTTCAATTTTGCCTCGACACCGGAAAAGCGAATTATTTTGCCCACGGATTTACATTTTCCCTCCCCGTATCTCGATGTCCTGGAAATTTCGAAACGCTCGATGCTCCCCGTCGCCCGCTTTGACCTCGATTAACATGCGCGAGAAAGCAGAATGGCGGGAAGGGGATAGAGGGGAGGTCTGTTCGTAAATCGTGATCGAACAGGAAACGGGTTATCGATTCGAGGCTGAGAGAGAACGATTTCGTCGCTTTTGTTCGCTCGCTGCCCTGGGAATTCGTTCTCTGAATTTTGATCGACCTCCAGCCGACAGAGATGATAAAGGACGAGGGAAGAAGAAAAGATGATCCGGTGATAAGGAAATCACGCGAACCGATCACTGCCTCGGCTCTTCTTCGACCCATTTCTTTTACCGCTGGCTGGGAACCGCTGCATTTAAATAACCGAAAGAAAAGAGATAAAAAATAGTGGAAAGAAATTAGCATCGAATTGTAGTGAAACAGAAACTTCCACCGAGGAACATAAGAATCGACGAGAAACAATAGAAAAGAAAATTATACAATTGTAAAGAAGAAATAAAACAATGGAAAATTCTATTTCCTTGGAGCAGGAGGTAAAAGAGTCCACTGGAGAATCCGTGAAAAGCAGCGAACTCTCAAAGAAGAATCTCCGACGGGAAGAGAGGAAAGGCGAAAGTTGTGAGAAACTTGGCGAATCGTTACGTTCCGAGGAGCGTTTATTTTCCGTCTGGTGGCCATAGCCGGCATAATCTCGAATAAATTTGATCGATTTTGTCGTGGATGTGCGGAGGTTCAGGTCAGATATGGCCGCATCAAACGCCGATACCGATTCCTCTGGATGCTGCACTCGTGGCGTGACGAGCTTCGAAACTCTGCACGGACGAAGACCGCTTATCGAGAGCAGTAAAGGAGTCCCGGTTGAGTCTCAGGAAACATCGTGATATAGGAAATCGAGATACAGGCTCCTGGCACCGGAAGTAACCGTGTCCAACTGCTCGACAGCGGCTTGTATCTTTCCTGTGCCAGGCTACTGTAAATTGTTGCAAGTGTTAGCTCGCATTGAAACAGAGCGAAGGATAATAAGATCCCATGAATTCTACCAGCCACTTACGTGTAATTTTCCAGTGACAGGGTACAAAAGTCTTAACGAGGGATGACAGGCATTCGAGGAACAGTGTTCAAAGGATAAAGAGAATGGCGTGCAATTCCTCGGTTCAATTCCCGGGATTCGTGCGATCCTACACTGTCACGATGAAGCAAAACCTGAACAGAACGCTCTGTCTCTTTCATCGGACACAAAGAGGTAGCTTTTTGCGCGGCAATTCGCGTTTTGCTGATTCTGGTGGCGTGCCATGAATCCCGCACGATCGAGCAGTTTTTCATCCCGCAAAAAAGGGGATCAAAAAAGTATTAGCATATTCCGCTTTCTTGCAATCGCTTTGTTCGAAAGAAATATTTCAATTATCCTTGAGATTAATTAAAGGAAGGATTACAATTTCTTCCTCCGACGGAGTAGAATCGGAAAAGGACTCTTCGTCCCCTTTTCCGATTTTTTAATCTTCCTCGAATAACAGCAACACAATAGAAATTTCTCCTTCGACGTTGCACAGGGAAATAGAAAATAGGTCAACTCGAAGCGTCTATTGTCGGGATGCGGTGCATTTCGCAAGGTCGCACCGTTTTCCCGACTTTTCCCACGAGTAATTACGTCGGGAAACGCGGGACGCGTTGGAATTCACGAAACACGCGTACGCGCGACGCGACGCGTCGATTAAGTTCGCCGCGAGGAAATTTCGGGGCGAGAATTAACTTGGAGCCGTCGCTGAGAGCGATTTATGCAGCTTTGCATCTCGCAGACGGGAATTAAAATACACCGGTACCGCGATAAGCAGTTTATTCACCGCGATGATTAATATTCGACAGACGTCTGAGTAATGTATAACGCACCATCTGAGGTGTGCAAATTATTTTTCTTTTCTAAACGAAAGAATTTTTGGTTAAATGGTAATCGACGAAAAATACAAGTTTTAACTCGAGGAATTCATCCGTAAAAGAACAAGTCGATCGAATGATTTCACGGTGGCGACTTTGAAATAAGGCTGCCTGGCAAATCGTGGACGGCTACTTAACATACGATTAACAAAGTACATCGTGAATTTTCACGCATGTTAAACGCGCCGTTTCTCGTCCCGCTCACGCGAGATCCGCTCGAGCCTTGAAGCGGCCCGGTTGCACGCACACTGGCCACCGTTAATCGTATGCATATTAACGGAGCGTGTTTCAATTAAATTGCACATTCCATCGACGACGTTCTCTTCGGTTCCTGAACACGCATACCGGTGTCACGCAAATGTACGCGACTCGAAACACGAGACACTCTGGAACGTCTGAGAGAATTTCAGCTGATCCTCCTTGCATTAGAGAGGGTATTAAAACAACTGCTAAGTTTGCAGTATGTATTTCACAGAATAATTTATTCAATCCTTGGACAATTAAAAAAAAAGAAAATAATAATCTTAGAAGCTAGTATTATTATTTTGTACTTTGAGGAATCATGTTCAGCAACGTTCTATCCCCAAGCATCTTCGATCTTCATTATTTCTCGGTCTACTGACAAAATCCTTCAACCGGAAATGAAGCGTACACGAGCTTCGCGGTTTGTCGATCGATCAAATAAGCGTTCAGAAAGCAAGGTTCGTTCTTAGGTAACGAAACTTCCCTCGTCATCTATGTGCATCGTCCTCGGAGACTGCAGATCGAAGAGCGACAAGTGGATGTCCCACTTATGCTCTACTCGTTCGATGTTCCCTAATTAACGGACGCCTAATTATAGAATTACGAACGACAGTTGGACGTTACCTGCCAATAGATGGAAAGCAGAAATCAACCTGATTCAGCTACTACTTGTATTACCTTGAACAACCTGAACAAAGGACGTGTGCGACAGTATCACAGCCTTGACCCAACCTCTTCGACTCGCTGACGTCTTTCCATCCGCGACAGCTCCGACGATCAATTATATTTTCAAGTATCTCGATAATAACATGCAGAATCTGTTTGAGAAAAATTTCATTCGAACACCTTCTAACTCTGCTTTGAAGAGCGTTTGAAAATGAAAAATTGACAGGCTGAGGAAGTCGTCACCTTTTTACCTCTTAGCGTTCTTCCAAAAGGGGTAGAATGTAGGTCGTCAGATAAAATTTTACTGCTATCCAAAGGGAATACTCGTATAACGTTAGCGGAGAACGGTTTCGTTTAACTTGCACCCTGTGGTTAGGAAATGTCAAAGTTCAGTACATTGTTTCGTTTAATCAATATTAGCAGCAATTAGCGCGGCAGTGTTAGGATGCGATTTCTTTTCGGAGCGAAGGATGATCGACTAGCATAGACACAATTCGGGATCTTCCGGGTCTTCCTCGTGGCGATCTCTCGCCACGCCCAGCGCGCGTGGGCAGATCCGAGCGTACTGTCGAAAGGGTAAAGGGCGCTGGAATTCCAACGACCACTGGCAGGAAATCAATTACCAGCCTTTAAATCCTACACTCTGCAGCTTCCTATCGATCTTCAACCAGCCGGAAATATCTGCGAGCGCTTGCATTTCCTTATGAAAATACCGCTGCAAGACTTCATCCAGCTGAACATCGATTGCTTTGTGAGCGCAGTTCCTCAATTTCTAGCTGTAATATACCGTTCCTCGGAGTATCAGCTTGGTTACGCGTGTTCTCTACTTTATCGTAACAAGTAGAGTCGATAATAATCGATGCTCCCCTTTCGTGTAGTTTAAACTATCACTTAAAAATCGAATCTTTTGCAATTATTTCAAAAGCTCTCCGGTGTCGATCCATCAGAAAATCATAAATGATCAATCAAAGTGATCCTTGTTCGATTAAAAAAATCCTACCGCGCAAAGTTCAATGAATACCATTCTGTATGAACGTACGCTTTCGTAGCGCGAGCGTGTGCGAGGCAACAAAACGGCCCCGATCTTGGCCAGCTAGCAAGGACGAGGTCGCGAACGCGACTTAATCGCGCTCGTGTTCGTGCTGGTTCTCGTCGACGTACTCGTAGCGAGCACGAGCTCCGCGAAAGGGGATGTATGCAGCTGCAAAGTGCAGGCGCGCCTTGTCCCGGCTGTTATACAGGGTGTCCTATGCAAACGAGGCAAATCTTTATATCTTTAACTACCCTCCAGATCATGGGAACCGCAGCAACACCTCAGATTTTCACTAGCCACCCCCTAACCCTAGTTTTGTTAGACTTCAAGGTATAAATTGTCTCAGTTGCATATGATACCCTGTAGAATGCACAGATACGAAGAGAGGAACAAGTGGTAAGAAGAACGGAGATACAGGAGGACAGAGAACGAGCGTGGAAAATGGGTAGAGATAGAACAATAAGAAGAAGGGAGAAAGTAGAGAAGAGTGGGTGGTTACCGGTGGCGGGTCGCGAAACGGGTCGCAGAGGAGTTCGCGGAGGGTGGCGAGAATCCGCTTCCGTGTCCCAGTAGCACTAATGACCGCCATCCTCCCCTCTTTTCGTTCAACGTCCCCACTATCGCGCCCTTGCACTCCCTCCTCTAATTCAACCACCCCACCATTCACCTAAAGCTCGTTTTTCTCCTCCCTCTCACGCACTGCGCGTACATCCTCGATTACTCGAGTTGATACCTATTTTTGAATACTCCTCGTTCATAATCTAATGTTACTATCAAAATCTACTATAAATATTTTTCTATTATAAATCAACACCAATCTATAGTCTCTTGCTTGATCTTTTAAATTATTACATTACTAACAGACTATTGTCCAAAGAAAATGAAATTGAAAGTTTGCAGCTTCCCATATTCTCTTGCATTTAACCAAATTTTTGACAAATTTCCCTTCGTTTCTCAGAAAACTACTTCTTACTTTCTTGAATCTTTAGAGTGTGCAGATTCATGCTGTGAAAAAAATTTTTCGTTTTCATCCGTGTTAAAGATTGTCCTTTCACTGATAGTAAACCGATATAAAGGCATCCTTACGTCACAGCACCTAGAAGCGTGCGCCCTCCCCCTCTCTCGGCCCGTTTCCCCCACTCCTTTCGATCTCTCCCTGCCCCTTACACGCTTCAATCTCCCACCATTGAGTCTCAGTTATCCCCGACCTCCCCGAACGACCCCTCTCTCGGTTGAATCCAGCAGCGCGGTGTATACACACGCTACGAGCGCGCTATATACCTTTCCACTATAGCGGCCAGCACTCGGCGAGACCGAGGGGGACCCGGCAGTCTCCGCTGGTACACCGAGCTGCGTGTTACCTCGTTCCTCGATTACTGTATCACGTTCTCGCCATAATCAGCGTCGACGCGCGTCCGATCTGACAGCTCTTGTGGTACAGTCGCGGCTGCACGTCGACGTAACACGCGCGCGCATATACACACACACACACACTCACACTCACAACACACACTCACTCACAACACACCCTATATATATATATACACATTTTTACACACGACTCACAGATACACACGCTGGTGACCGAAGAACGCGATCCAACCCCGTGACACACGCGCATCGTGTGCATAGAAGATCGTTTGCGGGCACATCGGACGCGAACGAAGATAAAAGAGAGTTGGAGCAGTGCGAAGACGGGCACAAAGCGTGATCGGGGGCCAAAGTGAACAGGGATACGGGACGAGATACTTGGTGGTGTGAGAGCCAGGTGCACGGTCCCCGTTTCGTCTAGACGTCATCGAGGAGTAACACGTGCAGGTGTGTATCCCCGAACGCGCGGCACGTGTACGCTCTGTCACGCTCTACCTATATATATATATATATATCCGTGCCTCTTCCGTATACGTGTATATGTGTGTGAGTGGTTGGTCGATTTAAGCGAGCACGGGAGAAAAAGATAGGCGAGACAGGTAGGGTTAGGCGATTTCACGACCACCCGCAACAACTACCCTCGCGAGTGAACAGGAATCGACGGTGCCTTTATTGGATAACTCGATTCTTCTGTTGTTATTGTTGTTGTTATTGTTCGATATCACACATGGGAGTGAACGTGCCTCTTCAAACGCGCGATCACGATGAAACGAGCCCGTTGCGTAAGAGTTTGGGGGTGTACCGAGTGATACCGGAAGCGACGGCCGAGGGCTGTTCAGACTGCATCGTGGATAATCGAGGATTTTTCGATAAGTACACAGTGTCACGGTAATTGGATTATTAGATAACGTTTGAGGGAATTTCATGGATTTGATGTACACGTTTATTCGGGGTCATTTGGAAAGGAATTTAAATAGGTATTCAAGAAATCTTTGAATTTTCTCGAAGTATTTATTTTAAGTGCGTTATAATTATTTAACAAGATTCGGGGAACTCGATGTTTTCTATTTGTTTCTTGACGCGTCGTTCCACATCGGCCAGAAATGAATGTTTTCGATGACCGAAACGTCTTCCTCGTTTCTGTTTACCTTTTGAAACATCAAACTCTGGGAATCTTGAATGAAGAGACGATAATGAAACACTCCCATTTCAGGTGGTTTCAGGTGGAAAGATACCTGAAATATTTATGATAAGGCGCTTTGCGTGTGATAACGCAGGTTGCATCGTTGAACCATGAAGGTACTCTTGATAACTCTTTCCCTAAACGCGTTCCGAATTATATGCTACTACGATGTTCTATTCCGCTATAATTTCGTATTCCTCTAGCTGAGTTTGTAGAATGATAGTAAATATTTACATTACCTACACACACAGTTCTGTAAGAATGTAAATTATCTATGATTTCATTTAATTGCTGGCATTCAAAGAGAATAAATCGATTGGAATTTTCCGCGTTTTGTGTGCAGTTTACCCTTTCGCGTTAAGCAGCCCGTAAATATTGACTTACGGTGGAGTAAGCGTGAAGATCGGGTCATTTGTGTTTCACGAGTGGCTACGTTGACAGCTGTAATTTGTATCGTGCACAGTTTATATTGTTCGCGAGCAAAGCATTCTTCTGTGCTTGCATAACCGTGCGGGCTTTAAATCAACGTGCGCCATATAAGGCTATTGATAAAAGGGTATGTACATGTGTATCACGTTGCATGATTGTTGTGCATGCACCCTTAGCGCACGAGTTCGATGCATTTCCTTCTGTACTTGGAGTCGATAACTACATTTCAATTATAGCCGAACATAATAGCGTTTGGAAAAATCAGTAATTTATATTCAATTTTGTATTTATCCAATTATTTATTTATCGTGCCAAGTCGACTCTATTGTACAAAGGATCTGAGCGCACAAATAAATAAATATCGTGACAAGCAATTGTCGCCTTTTCGCTGTAACTAAACGAGCCATTTATCGTCCGGTCGAGCAAAGTGGGCAATCTTCGTCTAAGCTAAATAACGCAAAGAAATTTGGCATTCGTCTCGACGAACAACTCATCCGTCGAGGGCTCGACAGGTGTTGTAACTGGCCCAGATTCCGGTTCGTTTACCAATAGAGACGGTCTCGCTTAAATATATCACGATGGCGGCTGCTCGACGACGATTTCGCAAACGATAGGACCGCGGAACACTCGCGGATCGATATTCATTTTTGCGATCTGGCCGACAGATAGCCGAAACGAAGCGAATCTTCTCGTTGCGAAACGAAAAGGAAAGTCGATCATTGTTTACGCGTAAAGATGCGATCTGACCGGCCGGGCCACTTAAGCGGACGCCAATTAAGTTTGCAAAACGATCACGAGGAACGAAAGAACGGGGGAGGGCTTTTCTACCGATTCGATTCGCAATCGTTTCCCTACCGGCCGTCAATTATTCCATTCTCGCGGATTTATGGCTCGACGCTTTCGCGTCGTGCACGGTTACTCGCGTGCGGCCTACGCCGGATCGTTTTGACGTCCCGATTTAATGAAGCGTGTAAATCATCGAGCGATCCGTGACACGGAGCTCGAAACGCAACGGGGAACGTTCGATTGGAGGCGCTTCAAAGTTGTGGGGGAGGAAAAATTGAGAAATTGGTGAAATCGACGAGTGGCATTCAACTAATAATCGTGAGTCTAATTAATATTCTCAGTCACAAACTTATCGTAGAATCAAAGAAGAGACGTGAAACACTGGCTGGTAGATTCGTCTGCAGTTTCTGAATGGAAGATTTAAATGGCTGAATCAGTCATTTCGCTGGTAGATTTTCAAACACCCTGCTCGCGATGAAAGGTGAAAGAGATAGCGTAAAATATGTTCAATTTGAAAGGAGTGTATCTATTTTCTTGTAAAGTGCATGTTCCTCGGATAACAAGCACGCTAAAGGATCGATTTACGTTTATACGAGGTAGTTCGATACCTGTCGCAAACATGGGGGATACATTATAGCAGTGAAATTGAATATTCGAGATTTAATGCTCTCAAAATCTTTTTTATACTCTGGAAAAATATACTGCATTCGTTTGCTATTTGATTAACGACAGAAAGGAAAATTTTACTTATAAAATCAGTTTCATAAATGTTTTCATAAACGAAGATGATAGACTATTGCTAGCTGCTGTCAGTATGACACATATGAAAGAGTAATAGACACCTTTAACGCTGTTACGATGCCGAGCTAGTTGTATTATATAATTATTAGATGCACGAGTGATACGTTATAGTCATTATTGCGTTGTTCGTAATCCTCCTCCCTAAGTAAACTGAACACCGTCTGCGTCATCTAATAACGCGGCGCTCTTCTATCGCGCTAATTACAAGCTGCCTCTTTATACGCGAGAAAGTTGTTATTTAACAACCGTTTCACGCTATTAATTTTTCGGTCTCCTCTGGTCGGTTTATCAGATTCTCTCGGACAATACAATGGATAACACGCTAAAGAGACAATTTTCTCGATTACACGATCATTGTCTGTTCGTAGAAGAAGAGACGACGATCCTATTACGTAAGTTGTACGCTTCCATCATTATCGTGGACGATGAATAAGAGACAAGAAGCGAGCCGCTCGATTAACGCGTGAAATTTGCACGCGTTTCTGGAACGTTTTTCCCTTATGCCTGTCGGATAATAACGGCCATTAGCGGCGTTAATTATCGGCCTTATCGCGGAATTTATCTCTTCAAGGTTGCCCGTTCCGGTGTCCATTAACGGGATATTAACGGGGCCAAACTGCACGGACGCATTACCCTTCGCTTTACTCGTTTGTAAATTAGGGATGAAACCGACTACGTTTAGGGGGTCGGTTTCCAGACGAAACCGCGATACACTGATTCGTTTGTTTGAACCCTTTAAATACTATGCCACCATTATCATCCTCGCTAAATAACCGTTCAAGAGGAAACTCTTAACAACCACACACTGACTCTTTCGCTTACTTGCGATCAATAATTAACGGATCGGTTATTAGTATTTTTTTCTGTGATAAATTTCCATTAGCTGCACTTAACGTCCGACAATTATCGCCCGCTAATAACATTCTTCAACGAACGCATTGGAATTATTTTTTGGTAATATTCCACGACTCGTTTGGACAATTCGTTAACGTCTGTTCGGTCAATTTGTAAAATTTCCTTTGTTAAACATGACACGAATTATGAGCAATCCAGAGTGGCATAGGAAATGAGAAATCCAATACTGAAAATAGAGATCATTTGCAAATTACTTTCTTTGACGAATATCCTGCTCTTTCTCTTTCATCGAGAAACACGGGATTCCACTGTGTCGATGGCTGAACCGGTAACAGCACCGACACGGCCGGAACCTTTGCATTATGTAATCACGTTTTAAAAGCCAGTCGAGGAGGTAATTAAGCAATGTTTGCCGTGCAATTATAGGAAACGAGGTGTTTTCGATCCATCGACGCGTGCTCGTGCCGAGAGAAGAATCGTTGAACGAATAGCAGAAATCGTTACGAATTCATCGCGTAAAACAATCGTATGGAAATTTTATAATTGAACAAAGTGGAAATGAGTCTTTCTAGCTTAATTTCTTATATTTCATCGATGTCTCCACTTTTTATTTTGTGGAATTAATCAATTTGGCAAATGAGCGACCTACAAGAGCCTTCTTAATATAACTGAGAAACAAAAGTCGATGAATAAACACGAGGAGGAAAAAAGTGCACGAAGAGGCGAAAAATAAGAGGATCAAGAGGAAAGTAGGGAGACGAAGGAATCAGACGGGCAGCATCGAAAGTGGAGCAATAGCGAAGGGTTTCCGGGACGAGGCGAGAGAGCTCTGTGCGACAATCGATCGGCGGTCTAATCGATTCGATACTCCCACGCCCGTTCCAATCAGTGGCTGCACGAGTTACACAAGAACCTCGCCGATTGGTCGATGCTCGGTCCCGTGGCGCTTCGTTTTCGGTTCGGCATCATCTATCGCATTTTCCGGCAAGTCATAATTTTCCAAGCTCGCTTAGAACTCACCTGATATCCGCGGGAATTTATGGCTCAATATACCATACGTGTGTATTATAAGTACTCTCTTTACATGAAACATCCTATAGCGATGATTTCGAGCTTGAAAATTCGTTGTGTCTCCTCTTCGCGATTTAACATCTCGGCTTTCGCTATTTGTTCGCGAAATTTTGAAGAAGACACACCAATTCTGTGTCATAGTTATATATAGATTTTTGTACAAAGCTGGCCTTGTGGAATGCAGCTAATAATTCTGAATAGTTTTAATTCCTCGACGTTACTCGACTTAGGTCTAAGTTAGATAAGTAATTATGTAATTTAAGATTAATGGGAACCTTCGTTAATTATTACATAATGTGATAAAGTTTAATTATCACAAAGT